ATGTAGCTCTGTAAAGAGTCCTATCAGTGCCCATGTATGTACAGTATTGCACTCAAATGAATGGCCATACCTATACTGAACTTTGTACAATGAAAGCATAAACATTTATGGACATTTACTTGTGCTCAATAAAAAATTAATAAACGCTTACCTTGGAATGGTGAAATGGACTATTAAGAGGTAGTTGATATCAATAAAGAATAATGTCATTAGCTTGAGATAATATTCACAACACATATTGTTCTATTTACATACCTTTAAATGGCTTTAATGTGCTTGATAGCGGAAGTAGGGATACTGGAACAGTGCCCCCTGTAGAGCCAGATGAAGAAGTCTATCAGATGGATTTTCACAGCAGCTCTTAATACTAGCATGTTGACTCTTCTGAATAGAACTTTGCACTAAACACTTGATTTCCCAGTCACTGTTAAGGAATTATGCAAATATCTTAAGATAATGGGATGTGAGTGCACATACAGTCACTTCAAAACCATCCGACAGTAAGGAGGACAAAGCAAACCTCGGCCTGCCCTATGTCCCTGGCTTTTGGTGCCTCAAAAAAATGGTATAGGCTTGGTTCTGCCAACAAGAAATGAATGTGTATTCCTTAATTAATTGACATCTTATACATATCACATTGTAAAAAAATAAATAAAATCTAGGTGACTTAGAAAATGGGACTCTGTTCAAAATCCTCAAAGGCATTGACAGTGTTAACTTATTGTACTTCTTTAGAATACACTGTGAAAGTGGATGAGGTCCTCATATAAATTACTGAAAACCAAATGAACTAGATGGACCAAAAGGCCTCCTTTTGTTTGCAAACATTGTTCTTCTTCCCTAAATCATTATTTCATATCGGTGCTTAAAATAATGAACCCTCGGTGCATATGCTAATTTTAATATCTGTGTTAATCAGATTTTTTATGAAATAGTTATGTTATGATCCAATACATTGTTTTGATACAGAAATGATGGGATTCTGTTTGGACAAGGCTTTCAGATCTCAAATCTTATTAAAGCACAAAGAATAGCTTTACTTTTTGTAGTTTAATATAGTATTTTTAAGGTCTTGTGGTTAAGTGATTTAAGTGTTTTTGAGCTGCCAATACAGACAGATATTTTGCTGGCATTCACCCTGACCGATTGCTTCATTTTCAACCAGTACAATGGTGTTTGAAATCGTCCCTAATGGGTGTTTACTTGTAAGCAGAAATGAACCTTGTTTTATTATAATGCCATTATTGATTGTTTTCACACAGCATTATAAAAAGAGGACTTCATGGGCATGTAAATTGCACACACTGTACTTGGGGTTCCTTGATAAAACACAGTAAAGATTATTAAGGATGACACTTCACAACCCGATATGATGTACAATTCATGGATTGTGTGTCATGCACTCTCTGAAACAAATGCGCAGTATATCCCAAGTACAGAAATTAAAAAAAAATAATTAAAGGCTAAGTAGTTCCATCAGAAAGTTATAGCTAATTATAAATTACAGTGGCTATAAAAAAGGATTCACCCCTTTGGCATTTTTCACATGATTAATTAAGAGAAAGCTTTAGAGGTTTTTATTTGACATTACAGAGTATTTTATGTTGATTGTTAATAAGAATTCCTGAATAAATCCATTTTGATTCCATGTCATAAGAAAATAAAATGTGAATAGTGCTAAAGGGGATACTTTTTATAGCCATTGTCGATCTTTAGTTTCAATTACTCATTCAAGAACTTCTTTTGTAGCCCACAGTTGAAGTTAAAACCATGTCACAACCAAAGATTAATCTTAATGATTATGGCATCAATATTAATAATACCAGTAACAAATCATTATTGTAAGAAAAAAGTCATATTCCCAAACTGCTTAGTGGCTAATCACATTTTATTAAAGTAAATTAATGTTTACTGACCTGTGTTCAGATATTTCTGGTTCCTGTTTCTGTACCTTAAAGTTCATTTCATTCAGGTATGCCAGAGAATTTTCAGAAATGTCAAAAATTCTTATTCACACAATCTGCTGAGATGTCTAAAAAAAATCTTTATGCATTGATATTTCTTTCTTATAGACAGGTATCAGTGTTACCACATTACTATCTGATCTATTTGTACTCCTAACTTGTAAGCTACTCAAGTTTCAAATTATCCACACTTTTGCAGTCAGAAGTCCACCCATAAACTTCATGCAGGTACCATTTATTCAACTGAGTTCCTCATTAGACTGTAAAGTGACTAATTCACAAACTTTCTGCTCACTCGCGTTGCTCCTTTTTATGACATTCATACACAGCAGATGCATGGAATACAAAACAAAGATTATATGTGCAAGTATTTTGTTACTTATTAGGTTGTCCCATGTTATTTTTGCTTGCTATAGAGAGAACCATTGTCTTAAAAGTAATGGGATTGTAGTTTGTTAGGCTATAACATGGTTTATACAAGCATGGTGGTTTTTTTTTTACACGTAAAGAGAACATAAAGGACATTAGAATTGCTTTAAAATGTGATGAGACAGTTCAGACAGCTGTTTTGTTTAGTATGAATCCAAGAATGTGCAACTCTATAAAGGCTGCTCATTTTAAAACATGCAAGTTAATGTTATGTAGGATCTGTAGTGCTATAACTGCATTACTTTAGTGAGTGAATTCTTCTGATGTGGAGGAAAGTCCAGACTGAAAACTTGATGGGTAGTGTTGAGTTCTTTAAAAAAATCGCATTTTCTCCTTTTAACTGTTGGAACTGTGTGAATATTTCACTACCTCACTGAATAGCCTGAAAAAAACAAATGCCTTATCATATTGGTATTGTATTGTCTACAAACGTTTAAATGTAAAAGCTGCTCTTTTAATGTGATGGTTTGCATTATTATTGTGACTGAAGATCTCTTGAACACGACTACGCCTGGAGCTTCCTGCATCCATCTGTTGCTAGGAAAACTGGCAAATCTGCAAAGACTTGAATAAATAACCTCTGGTTGCAGATGGCTGATGCCAAAAGGTCTTCCCTGTTGTATTGCAGTGCCAGGAAGTATTGCTTTTTGTGTACTGTTTTTTTTAATGTATATCTATACATTTGGATGAGTATGTTGTGTTTTAAAGCCAGCTAGTTTAATGGACTCAAATCAGCATTGATATGTAGGAATACCCGGTTTTCAGGTGCTTCAGAGTGAAATCAGTTTTCTTTTAATTAAGAAACATCTATGCAAATATGTTTATAAAAACAAACAAAATTGACATAATACAGCTACATTGACCTGTTAACTTGGATTTAGACTGCGGGATATAATATAGCCAGTCTGAGTTATCAAGATATAGTCAGGACTGAGTTATCATGAGATAATGTCAGATATTGTCATTTCTTATTTTGGACTATGTCATGATAAGACACATCAAATTTGTGTATCTTTGCTGATTTAGATCTTATCTTGTAATAATTCTAATATGTAACACACCACACTTAATAAGCATTACACTTGCAAAAAGCCACATAGGCCAAACAATAAAATTTTTCTTCTGCTGGGATAAAAGTTAATCAGTTGAGGACAAGGTCATTTTTGCATGCTGCTTGAAGTCTAATCTTAACTTTTTTGTGTACTTTGTGCCGATAACTGCATGTGCACCAGTTAATTCTCTCTTTGATATCCTTTTTCTGTGTAGCGGAAATTGTCTACTTGCTTTTGAGGGTTAATAATTAAATAAAAAAAAGAGGCCAGGCTTGTTTTATGGAACTCCTGAACTGAGGTCTCTATGCTTTAACCCTTTATCAAACTTAGCCACAAAAATTTACATGGATTTGTTCATTTTATTATGGAACGTTGTGCAGCACAGTGGCAGAGTGGTTAGCATCGCTGCCTTGCAGTGCTGTGGCCCTGTGTTCAGTTTCAGATCTGGGTGTTGTCTGTGTGGAATCTGCATGTTCTTCCCATGTTTATGTGGGTTTCCTCCAAGTGGTCCTGATCCCACAGTCCAAAATTATACTACTAGGTTTAGTTGGAAAACTGGGAAAACTGGCCCTGGTGTGAGTGTGTGCATGTTTGTGTCTGTGTGTGCCCTGTAATGGACTGGCGTCCAGTCAAGGGTGTACCTGGATTGCTCTCATTGCTTGCCGAGATAGGCTCTGGCGTCTGTTCAGACCTGAATTGGATGAAGTGGTTAGAAGATGGATAGATAATGGAACACCAAACAACTGTTTATCCTAAAGTACATTACTTTTTCATTAAGTACCTGTTTGAAAATCCTTGTTCTTCCTTGTACCGAGTGCACATCTAGAGCACAAAAAAACTTCCTGGCACTTTCTCCTCTCACACAAATTTGTGTTTAGCCGTACTCCTACTATTGCTGGCCCTTGGTTCAGGTTTTGATATGTACTGAACAGAATTTGAAATAGATGTGTGAAGCCCAAAAAATGTGCTCTCCGATGTGCTTACAGCATCTTGCAGCCTATAGTATCGGAAATCTCCTTGCATTATTACTAAAGGTGCTAAGCTTTTAGTAAACTTATAGTTCCACTTTATTTACAGTTTAGTGCACTTTAGTCATACTGTTGATAAAAGGATAATCTTATTTCAAAGAAACTGTCACTTGAAGATCATTGTAAGTCAGCTGGGGTAATTAACCATGATGCTTAGGATGACGGTATGTAATGAGCTGTTGACTCCCTAGTGTTTAGTTGATTTCAGATTGTAAAATGTTGTTTTTGCACGCCAATTCAAATCTTTTAAGGCAGGAACACTTAGTATATGTATCGCCAGCAGTTATGTGTTTTTCACGTGTCCTCAGACAACAAGAGGGTTTGTCTTCATGTGTACATGTTAACTAAAATAATTTACTTTCATCAAAATTTCAAATAAAACTTGTCTGATTCTTTTTAGAAAGTCTGAAACTGTGGGGCAGCAGCTTCACAAGCATGTCCTCGGCGTTTTGCTATTATACCACAGTGTCATGTCATTGAGTCCTTTTTTTTATTTACCCCCTTTTTTGTCCTTTTCTTGGTTGCAGCAAAGGAAAGTTCCAAAAAATGATTACCTCTCCCCAAGCACTGAGAGCAGCTTGTTTGACAGAGCACAGTCACCTCACGGAAACCAGCCTGTTTCCAGGAAAACACAGAGGGAAGGTAAGACATGGAATACTGTGTAAATCTTACTCCCCCAGTCCTCTTTTTTTGTTGTTGAAACATTGGTCCTAGAAGACATCGACAAATGGACCATACAATGTACAACAAGGGTTTGAATCACAAAATCTGAATTGTGCTTTTCTATTCATATAGATAGTAAATGACTATTGCTTTAAATTTACATGGAGCAAAACCTTCAACTCCATTTAATTTAGAATCACATTTTTTGTTATACACACCCAATTCTGGGGTTCACAGTTATAAACTGCCATAGCATAACCGAACAAGGAAGTGTAGACAAGACACTTTTGATCCACCTACTCATTCATCTTTTAAAACTCAATAATAATAATAATAATAATAATAATAATAATAAAGCGTTTCCAGACACTCCTCTCAGAGTGCTTCACAGGCAGTGGGGACTCCCTTCCACCACCACCAATGTTATATCACTCACTTGGATGATGCGACAGCAGCCAAAATGTGCAAAGTACGCTCGCCACCCATCGGCTGTCAGTGGGGGGGAGAACGAAGTAATGAAGCCAATTAATTAATGAATATTATTAGGAGGCCATGATTGATAAAGACCTGGAGAAAACTTGGCTAATGCCCAGGGTAACCCCTGAAATTACGCATTATCAGAGGAAGTAAGTTAAAGAATCACTATGAAATTTAAATTCTGACCTAATCTGAAATATCTCTGATGTTTGTGAAACATTAATACATATAATTGATGGCATAGTATTATTTTTCTAAAGACGTTTCTGTTGCACTCTTAAAACCTCTAATTTATGCCTGTTGTTGCCATTTACAAAACTTTGCTTTTTGTTATTCAGCAGTTCACATAGAGAAGATAGTGCTAAAAGGAGCACAAAGGAGTAGGACAGACAGATGCTTGGAGTACACCTTTGAGGTATGTTTACTTTTATGTGGAAATCTTTACAACGTTACCCGTTACCCATTAATTGGGTGAGAAAATCATTTTGCTCTAATTTCTAAAATCTTTCTGCTGTAGCTTGAGTAGTTCAGTTCATTATACTTTTAGCTAAAATGAAATGCCTACTGTTCTATTTAGCCAAAGTGATTAAGTATCATTTTGCAATGTTTTCTGTTATTTTATACGTAATTGTTTTTACCAGCTTTAATTTGTTCTTGTATGCATGCTGTTAAGTCTCCTTGTAACAGAACAAGGCAGGAAGTTGCAGATGCACAATACAGTCTGTTCCTTAGTATTCTGTACTACAAGATAATTTTACTATTGAGTTTTACCCTAAGCAGACGATGTACAGTAATTTACTCAAATTCATAAAAATACATATTGGGTTACAGGCATTCTTGTAACAGGATGATACCATATTGAACACGTTACAAGCTGTAGGCACTATAGATCTGTGTTTTATATTTTTGTATATCGTGATTTAAAAAGAAGGCACATGATGAATAAAATCATTTAGGTTTTCCAGATCAGTATGCAAATAGCCATTGTCCTGTGATGGGCTATCATTTGCTGTTGACAGCTATACTTAGCGTATGTCTAAATATTGTACCTTTTGTGAGGTTAATTATGGATGGTAGTTTTAAAAATATGTACTGGTATTTCCAGATGTATTTTTTAAGTTTTATGAGGACGAAAACATTTTTTTTTTTTTACATAACCTGTCCTAATTGGTTGTTGGATTGGTAAAACAGAAGGACAAGCACATTTCAGTGTTCATGTCAATACCTGACTTCTGGTAGTCTCTCATGATAATAAAAAGACTAGTCCTACATCCAATCCAGAATCAGTTTATACTTTGTATAAGTCATCTGGGAGAACATGAGATAGACCATCTGAATGCACCACCTTACATTTGCATACCATCCTGAGCCACATTAATAAAGCGTTTAATCTGATTTACGGTGCACAGATTACATAGTGGAGGAGAGCACTACTTCAGCTCCACAAAAATGCATTTTGTATCACCTTGTGCATAGCCTGTGCCGAATGTGTGAGCTCATTGTAGCAAGTGTATTTAGTACGTTTCCACATATTTTTCAAATATGAAAGACACACCATGACCTTTGTTGTAAACATCCGGTAGTGCACGGGTTGACAGCTTGTGTATGGAAACTTTGGCAGGCTCTCTGTGGCCTTTTGCCAAAACAATAGCGGGTTCTTTGACACAATCTTAGTTACAGCTGGAAAAAGAACACATAAAAATTAGTTCGCTGCAGTGTTTGGAGTTGTTCTTCAATAAAAAAGCACAAGGTGATCTGAGATCTGACAAGGTGATGCTGCCTTTTCTGTATAGAATGTACTTTAGGCCTCTCTGTTCCAGGCACGTTTTCTGTCCACAATATTGTTAAGTGTTGTCAAGCACCTTTTAATTGAAGCTATTGCTTTTCTGAATATACTTTGTATTTCAGAGTCGCGGCAGCACCTGTGATGGTGGTCATGTTTGTAGCTAGAAATTGATCTTTGGTGCCTATTTGGTGTACTGACCCTGTCTTCCATATTTTGTTTCTAATAATAATTTTGTTTTTAAAACTGTTTAGTGATTGTTTTTTTGTTTTTCTTTCGCTTTAGTAGTAGGAAAGGGAGATATTCCTTGCTTTGCTTTCCTTGGTTAGCAGATTCTTGGTTTTCTGCCGTGTAACTGTAGAGGAGCTCCAAGGCTATTCAGTCCCCACAACACGTGTGCCTATTTCATGCAATTAGTACAAAGCCCAAAGGTAGGGATGAGCCCTGGAGACAACGAGGAGTCTGTTGGTTTTAATTTGTGGCAGATTTAGTCGGCAGGGTAGCCTTTGTGGTAGGATTCTGTGTTTAATACCAGTAGACAGAGCTGGTATGGGTATTTATTTGAGAGTGCAAATGGGACTGCCATACAATTTTCATTGGAGAGCTTGCATGCCAAGTCCGTCCACAGGCAGTTTTATTCTAATCTGTTTCATTGCTGAGTTATAGGGGAAGGAAAATTGACTTTATACGCTTAAATTTTTTAACGTTGAATTGTCAGGATTACAACTGATCAATTGTTAATCAGTTGCATCAGCACAGACGGAGAGAGGAGTGAAGTTTTTTGTTTCACATTGCCAGTTACCTAGCTCCCATATGAGAGAGTTAGCATTGATTGGGGGAGTGATGTCTCGGTTGTCGGCAGCAGTGCAAGGTCTTAAGTAGCTGGCATAACCAGGGGCCTGCAGTTGCGCTATACACCCTGGGCATGTCAAGAGCTTCCTGGTGATGGTCAGCCAATTGCATGACTGCTTGTCATAGTCAATTAATGAAATGACCCATTCAGACGGTTGACAGCTGAACCTTATAAGACCTCAAGAAATAGGATTTGAGAGCTTTACTAAGGGGTGAGGCTGCACTAAATTCAAAGTTGAATTGTTACAGGATTCTGTTTAGTTCAGGATCGTTTTAGAGCATTTTCAGGACTTTTGTTCCACTACAGTTTTAATCTAGATTTAAAGATGTCTCGGATGTGACTCCAATTCATCCACTTCTTCAGCTTGTATGTGCCAGATGTGTTGAGTTGACCCTATAGGTTTTAAAAATAAGGCTCCTAGACCTACTCATCCACCTGCAGCTCCCCTTTTCCATAGGTCTTAGAGCGTCGGGTGCTGAACAGGACTGGTTAGCTGCAACAACAAGGTATCTTTGCTCTCCTTTCACCATAGTGCCCAAACAATGCTGAGAGGATTGTGCAGAATCAGTCAGTAGCCAGTAATTCCTTTGTATTGTTAGTTCTGCATATTGCATGTTATCCCATTTTCTGCTTTCTGGCTACAGATAATGCAGTGACAAGTAAGTATGGAAATGCTTTGAAATTAAATATGGTCTTGAACATAAGATTTCTAATATTTTGTTTAGGGAGTGGGAATACATTTCATTAACAAAATTAAAAAAACAATTGCATGTCGTTTCTGAGAGTTCTGAGCACACAAGGATACACTCTCTGAACCCTTCATTTTCTTGTAGTGTGATTCATAACTTCCCAGTTCCCTTTGTTCTTCTCATTAATTCATGCTATTCATTTTGTCTTGTTTTCCCACCATTGTACTTTATCTAAATGCCTAAAAGGGGTGCTCGATTAAGAGACATGCATTATGCAAAATATACCCAAGAACTGTACAGACTTTGGAAAACCTTATTTCCAGTCATTTGGAGCACTGCCTACTGCACCTTACTTTACTAATGGTGGCCCAGTGACCCCACCCTGTGTTGAAAAAACACAACTTTTAAACAAAAAAAAACTATCTGCAAGCACTGCACTCAACACAGCGGCAACAAGCAGACTATTTGCCGAGCTCAGTTGTACCCCTTCATAGGCATAGTGTCACCAAAATGTGTTTCTGAATGTGATTCTAAGATGTCCAACGTATATACTTGAAATTTTTATTTGTTGGATCTAACAATGTATTTCAGCCATTGTTAAGGCAGTAAAAGGGAAAAAAAAGTTGTCTATATTCATTTCTACTATATATATATATTAAGAATGGACAGCATGGTGGTGCAATGCTTAGCATGTGATTAGCATTGCTGCCACAGAGAGTTGGGGCCCTGGGTTCAATCTGTGTGGAGTTTTTATGTTCTCCCTGTGTTCAGATGAGTTTCCTCCCACAGTCCCACGATATACTGGTAGGTTAATTGGCTTCCGGGGAAATTGGTCCAGGTGTGAGTGTGTGTGTTTGTGTCTTGTGCACATTGCTTGCCATGTTAAGCTTCAGCTCTTATGTGACTCCATATTGGATAAACTGGTTAGGAAATGGAAGAATGGGTATATTAGTTTATATTATATAATATATATTATGTTTGTACTTATATAAATATATTTGTAAAAAAGTAATGAATTTTTGCTTTATTTTCCTTAAAGAAGTAAAAGTAGTGCATGAAAAAGTAAAGGACAGGCTCAAAACAGTGGAAAAACTTATTTTTTTCTGTACAGCTCCTTGATTCAAGTTCTGGCTATTGTAATGAATTTAAGTCACAAATCTAAGTGCTCCACAAAATCGGTTTCCTCGCAGAGGAGATTATAACAGAAAGTCATAATCGTTAAGTGACAGACTGGGAACTATGAGATGTTCAAGGTGCCTCTGGCAGGGTGCTGAATAACTTTGCCCATAGTATTGCATCCACCATATAAGAAGAAAGAAACAGAGCTAGGTTTATTTACATACTGCATACTGGATACTACTCCATATCCATGCAGTCATAACTGTCATACCCTGAAGAATGCAATGAAGTCTTCGTGGTAAATGGGTTTTTGAAGTGAAGTCAGCATCAGTGCTCTTGACTAATAAGGCCTTGGATTACATTGTGTTGACATAGGCTGAAAAACCAGGGTTTGCTTTCCCTCTTTGGGAGGAAGCTGTAACTGATAGCCGTGCCAGGATGTTTCACAGATCCAGTAGAGAGGCTTCAACTGTTGCTGGGAGTACAGTGTGGCACTCTTCCAACGCTGAAAATGAATTGCAGCATTCATATAAATAAAGCAATGCCTGCAGCGGCAATATTGAGATGCTGGATTTACTTTACAGCAGCATTTAGTGTAAATGACTCTTCCCTGGCAGTGAAGTGAGACTGATTGGTGGGTAGCCTAATGCTGAGACATTGTTCTGCTGGAGCAATGCCTACATTTTCTTGGGGTGTATGTCATACAAGCAGTGTCTTTCTTTCCAGGTGATAGGTGATACTATGAAGGATATCAGAAGTGATTTCACGTCATTTAATACATTCTCATAAGACAAAAAAGTTATGAACTTCTTGGACCTCCATGCACGCATTGTAAGATAAGCTAATATAACTTTATTAGCCATATACAATTTCTTGCATTAGGAATTTGTCTTTTCGCACACCCCAGCTTGCTCTCCATGAGACACACAGGCAGAGTGAGAAGCTTGGGGTCAGAGCGCAGGGTCTGCGCC